AGCCCCGGCCTTCCGGGGGGCCACGCCGAACGGCAGCCTGGTGCGTGCCCACGCAGGGACGCGAGGGCAGCTGCCAAAAGCAACACAGACACTTGCAGGGAGGGTTTTTTTTAAATACATTTATTAACCAATGTTAACACATTAAATGACTCTATATATTGCTAGTCAGAGCAGCTTACAAAATGCCAGAATGCATCATAAACTGGACAGCCACAATGAATAATTACAATGTGCATAGTGGCTAAGCTCAACACCTTAATATAGCTTTATGATTTGCAGAAAAATTAATTTTAAATCATAATTCCTAAAACAATCAATTGTAATTTTACCTAAAACTTATACAAAACCAGGCCACAATCTTTTTTTTTTGTTTTATTTTTTTTCTTTAAAACACACAGTTTTCACGCTGTAGTAACTTGGAAATGTGCAACCGTGTCAACAGAGACAAAAAAGCCAAAGTAACACGAATCTTACTTTCATGCAGCTATCAGTTAAATATTACATATTCTGGAATGATTTTACACCAAAAATATTTCCACAATAACTTGCTTTCATAGGGGTGGATCGAAGTTTTGGAACCTGTAAAGTAATTGAACAAGATTGATTTTTAGTTGTGAAGTGTTTTACAGTCACAACACAGAGGCGACAAAAGTTAATTACACATTTATCAGGCAAGAGTGTAGCTGTGGTAATACGAGTTACCATCTACTTACTATTTTTTCCAATCAACTTACCACTTAATTTCTGCAACATATTGGGCATTATTTGGCAGTATCTAGTCAATTAACGTATACCACCACTGTTAAGTGAAAAAGATCAGGATTTCAGTGGTAGTTCACAGAAGTCTTAGTTATATTTTCACCTTGACAATGACCCTGGCAAATCTTAGAGAAAACTTTTTTAAAGGCTTTCCTCCTGATTCTTCAGCTTCCATCGTTCCATCATGTAATTGCTTTCAATAAATATCAAAGATCTAAATAAATATTTACAAATTATTCCTCTAACTTCTCAAAAAATAGCTGGGTGATTAATGGGCGTATGACTCAGTCTAAGACCAAGCTTTGAAAGAAACTAAAATGTGGAGACACTTTAAAAGAAAAGCTATTTAAGTAAGCTTTACATCTATTTAAAAAATTGTCTCTGAACATGGATGCAATTAATATATCTATATATAAAACAAACAAAAAGAAAATAATTTTTCAACTATCGATCCATTCCTATTGGTAATGCTTCTTAAATCCAGACATTCCGCAAAATACAGACTTTTTACAAATCACGGCATCTTTAATACAAGAAAATTAACATGCATTATTCTTCATTCTGAGTACAGTGATGGAGCTCATTATTAGGCAATGACCCATTACTACAAACATAACGGCTTCTGTGAAACTTGAGTGCTTTTGCTCCTTTTATTATCACGTTACGGACCAGGCGACACTAGATCATAGGCGGTCAAATGACGTTGGATTGGGGAGGCTGAAGGGGGACGCAACAAAGAAATTTGTATGCCTCATAATTCCGGGTGTGAATAAAGGTAGTTGGGTTTTTTCTCTTTTTTTGGCTTCTCTTATTCTCGTTACAAGCACTCATGTTAGGACAAAGATGAAATGTGCAAACTTCAAAATTTAAATATTCATTTTTCTCTAAGATCCAGCTCAGTAAAAGATTACCCCAGTTCCCTGTGATTTTTAACTACAAGATCAAAGCTAATATTTTGTTATAAAAGTTATATATTGAAAAGAAATAATGAAAATAAAACACAGTTGGGAAATATTTAAGAAAAAATACGCAGGACTAGCACCTGCTGTGTCAACCCTGTTCCCTAAATTCAATCATGTACCCACTGGTATAACCAATAGATAATGCCTTTAAACAGTAAAATTAAGCTGAACAAAACCAGCTCAACAAGGTTAGGAAATTAATGTTACATCAAGGTAGTACGCTTCGTTTTTCTGAAACACTTCTATGCTTCTTACATTCAGATCTAGTTTTTCAATGTTCCTTTCGTTAAACTTGCGTGATTTTTTTTATTTTGAGATCTGCTGTTTTTAAAGATTAAAATCTCTGTAAAACCTAAAAATGTTTTAAAATTTGCTGAAAATGCAACAAATCCTCTAGTTTAAAACTATTTAAAGAAACCTGCTCCCACAGATGTTAAATTCATTTCGCTGACAAAATTTTGGAGGAGCATTAAACAGAAGATTGAAATTACTGTGCAAAATTTCTTTTACGAAAAGTGTTTAAAGGCTGGTGCAAAATGGGAAGCAAATTCTAAACAATTTTGGCTTCTTGGAAACAAAAACCGCTGTGTCTGAGAATAGCAATCATCGGGGGTGGTTTTCTAGGGGAGGAACAACTCTTTCATCTTTTTCGGCGGCAGGTACGTTTGTGTTCGGCATGCCAGTGCTCCTGCTGACACTTGATGGAGCAGTAGGAAGTGTTCCAGCAGCAGTGGTACATGGCCTCCTCCTCACAGTTGTAGCACTGCAGGGAACAAACGAGAGCAGATCACCACCCCGGCAGGCACCCTCCGCCCCAACGCACACGCGTTCTCACCTGCTCCTGGACGCACCAGCGCACGCAGAGCAATACTCCTCTTTTATTTATGCCTGGGGCACCCAAAGGCACGAGGACATTTTTCACACGTGCTGAGTGAAGCAGCAATCTGCAGCAAATCTGCGCCATGCTTTCATATTTTCCAGAGTCTGGATTATTGCTTTTGAAAAAGTCATCTCTCATTTAAAAAAATCTCATCTCTCAGGGCAGTGGACTGACATTTTCAGCCACACAGTGCAGGAACCATCTTTTACCCTACATTTGCATAATGGCATCCTGATCTATGGCTTAAAAGCCACGATAAATCAACAAGCACTTCTGGCGTGAACAGGTTCTGTGCAAGCTTGAAAATCTGCGTTTCTGGGGCTTCTTTACAAGCCTGGCCTGTCCCGAGGTTGCTGGGGAAGATCCTTTTGGGCTAGGAACATCTCAGAAGTCACAGCAATAACATTACTAGAGATAAGAGTAATTCATTGCCAAGTGGTGTGTTGCGGCCCTTTTCGGGTAGGTCTGCAAGGAGGCTGCCGTCGTCGGGGACTGTCGGCTGCCGGAGAGCACTGCAGTCTGGTGAAAACAGAACCTCGTGCTACATCAGTGCTGCTGGGGAGAGCAAGGGAGTGCCTTCTCCGTCAAGTCTTCCAGAAGCCAGGGAAGGCCTGGCGTATGCTGGATGGCCACGTGGGCTCGTGCCCCTTGTCATGCCTGCCAGGATGGCACAAAACTCCCGAAAGAAGAGATGCTGCACAGCCCATCACTTCTACAGAAATGCGTGGTTCTGGGGAGTGCTGCAGCAAAGATGATTTCTACCCCGGAACGCCCCCAGTTTCCTGGTAGCCGGAGAAGCTATCTGGAAAATAACCCCGTGGCCTTTGATGAACCAACACACTGGTCAGTGCTGCTGGTGGTCAACAAGGAGGTACAGCACCCAGATGGGCAGTGTGCCCTGTCTCCAGGAGGTTCTACACCCCTTCAGGAAGTGCTGCAAAGGCATTTAGCTGTCATTCTGACAAAACCCCGTACAGCAGGGTGGCATTGCTGCTAAAGGAACCACTGCTACTCAGCGTCCCTGAAAGCCAGGTTCTAACGATCTTCCTCTTTCTGAATTTGGTCTGCTCAGAATCAGAGAGTATCTTTATAAATCCAGTCTGAAATGCTTATTGCATGACGGGGAGCAGAGGGAGGGGTATGCCACAGTCTGTGCAGGCTGCTATCAAACCACAGAATAACCCACAATTTACTTTGTATGTCCTGTCTAGCTACAGCATTGTTAATAAAACAGAGAATTACAAAGAAAACAAACCCAACTGCCTTAAAACAAAACACAAACACAACAACCCTACACGCTACTAAAAGACAGATCCAAGAAAGCCAACATTTACATTGGCTAAAGGATAACTATTTATTTACATCAGCAATAAAGGGACTGCCCTAGCTGCATGAGAAGGGAAGCTCTCCATTTGCCTTTCATAATTTAGCTCTGGGGAAGTTTATCTGTAGAAATGTCTCCAAAGAAGTGTCCTCTTGAGAGCTGTTTTCCTGGTTTTTCATATTGTTGGCTGCCCACAAGCCTGTGGGAACCATTAGGATCATCCACTGGAAAGGTGCAGGGAACAGCTGTGTTTCTCTGTTATGTACAGCATGGGCCTCAGCCCAGAGACCAGCTTCACATCTGCTTGCTTGGAGAGATCAAAAAAGCTAAGACAGGAGAGGACAACTGATGGGTGGGTCCTGCGCTTCCCTTTACATATGCCGGCCATAAGCGGGGGATGCAAATCTCCCCTTATGAAAGGAAAACAGTGCACTCTGAGCTGGTACCAGCACACGTGGCAGAGAAGGCAAAACGCCAGCTGGCCTCAGGCCTCCTCTTTTCTTTGTATTTACCTCTTTCTAACATTATCAATCACTTGGGGTTTTGTTTCAGACAGTGCACGTCACAATGGTCACTCAAAAACGACCTGTTGCAAGTCAGAATAAATATCCATGGAAATTTAATGGAAAGAGACAGAAGTTTAACCTTATGTATAAAAGTGAGCTATGTGCCAATTTAAAGGAGGTTTATATGCAAATAAAAGAACTGGGAGAAATTAAAAAAGAAACACTGTCAAGACCGGCACTCTAGCCTGTATTCTGGAGGCCATCAAACTGCAGAATCTCATGCTCGCTATCCCTGCCCTTACATTTCTTCTTTTCGTTTGCTATTTACTTGAGGTATCTGTATTAAATCCAAATTTTCTGGAGGTATAAAAATGAAATTGGGTTAAGCCAAGGGGACTGCGACCAGTCAGAGCAACAGAAAACGCTGTTCTTTAACTACGCGTTAGGCTCCCGAGGCCTGGGAGCGCAGCTTCTCGTGTGCCCGTACACCACCAGCAAAACGATCCCTTCATCCGGACTGGAGGGGGTTTTTTTTAGGTATGACGAAAAGACAAATATAGTGTGAATAATAGCAACTGTATTCCCAAGCTGAGACATCTGCATTACACAAAACCAGAGGTCTCTGCTTCTAATTAAAAAGCAAAGCCACCAAATCTCATTTAGTATGTGTGTTAATTACAGGAGATTTTGATAAGGAGGTATCATCATTATAGTAGCAGCGTACAAGAGCAGCACTACACACTGGGGACTGTCATTAGTACCACTGAAAGAAAAATCACTGGGGAGCTGTGTAATTGGACCAACTGCAGCCCCCGAGGCTGTGTGCTGGCAGGCAGATCCATCAGCCTGAACGAAAAGGTGTTTACCCTGACCCTCCCTCTCCTACCACAGGCAGACCAGCTGCCTGTATGATGCCTTCATTTAAGGTGGTGATTGACAGATAGTTCTGGGGTCACAGAAACAGGCAAGACTGTCAAATGCTCTTTGTATCTTTAATTGTCTTGCTGGCTTTATGCACATGATCGTGAGATGCAGTGACATGGCACCAGGGCGCTCTCTGATTAAGCTAAGGGATATGGATGGTAAAGGCACACTGGAGCAGATGAAAGGAAGTCTCGGGAGCCTCTTTCATAAATTCTGCCTTCAAACAAAACCAAAAAGCAGCTATAGCTAAGAGTCCAGACTCACAGTCCGGTTACGGTGATTGAGTTACTGCGTATCAGCTGAAGAGTGGCAACAGTTCGCATGTGCCCTCTTCACTTCTGACACAAGAGCTAATTTGACGTAGTTCTACAGTGGGCAAAGGCAATTCAATTTCCCTCTCAAGTGCCACAGGCAAAAGCATGCATGCAGACACCAGCAGCTGGTGACTCATTAAACACAGTAACTTGATCAAGTCGGAGACTTAAATAACTCCTCCCGTCTGCCGAGATAGGTAGGCAGGGAGGAACTTTCTAACCGACAGAGACCCAAGCACTGCAGTATCATAACACCTACAACAAAACCTCTCCTAGGAACAGAAATGAAGACTCTATGGGAGCTCTGGCATCTGAAGTAATTCTTTTTACAATCAACCAAACTCTTAGCTGTGATAGTCAGCAACCAATTGTCTCGCCTTACTATTTATTTCACTCTTCTGCAGAGCAGAGTTTTGTCTGCAGGAACCATCATTTCATCTGTAAGAACAAAGGCCAACAAGGCTGAACAGAAACAAACAGCCCCTCACGGCGGCAGACAAAGGGGAGCTGCGGGAGGGAGCCCGGGCTGGCTGTCCCCGGGCGCAGTGGCCGTGGGCCGGTGGCACCCATCGCCGCTCAGCCAGCGTGCCATCTCGTGGGAAGCCACCCGCGGTGCTTCTCAGCCGCCTCGGGCAAAACCCAGGCTCAAAAGGAGGAGAGCAGAAAATGTTGTACCCACCCTCCGGTATTTTATAGCTAGCTATTATAGTGCAGTAGGATTTCCTGAGCGATGCCTTTCATTTCCTTGTTCTATGATAAGTGGCAAAGAAATAGCACGTGTGCCAGGCTCGCTGCTCCTCAGCGTGACACTCTCCACCCATACTCTCTTCTTCGCTAGCAGCACAGTATTACAGCACTTGCAATGTCCGAGTAAGTGCTGTACAGCCATGTGGGAGAACACACTTCTGGCTTGAAAAGTAAACACAAGACACAAACCAAACAAAAACGGGGAGAAGTCTGCAGCATGTAACAGAATGGTAAATTAGATGTCTGTTTCCACTTTTCTAAAGGGCTTGCAAACCTGTTTTTTGTAGGGAGTGCTGCAGTTTGGGCTTAAGGACTGAACAATGGAGAGATATATATTTCAGAAAGTTGTGTGTTAAACACAAAAGTACATAAAAGAGCTGCAAAAAAAGCTAGGAGAGGAAGAGACCAAAAGGATATCACTACCAGCATTATTAGCAGGGGAATCCAAACTGATGAAGCCAGATACTGTACCCTCTAAGGCCTTGAGATCAAAGGACTGCGAACATAATGCAAAACATGTCTTACATAGAGTAAAACTGTATTTAGAAAAAATATTTTGATACTAACATCTGACTGAACTCAAGAAGATGGCACTGTTAATGCTACATAATTAAGATGGAAAGTAATCAGAACTTCAAGTTAAAATTTAAAAATTAAGAAAATTTGAAAGCAGTGATATGAAGGAGACAACCTTAAAGCTGAAAGACCAGTGAAAAGAGCAGTGCAATTAAAAGTAAGTACGAAATCACTTTCAATTGACCTGCAATATGCATTATACATTTCCACTTACTCTCTTGTAATGCATTTTTGACACTTACCCACTGCTTCTTCTTGGTCTGGGAAATCAGTTGCTTGTGCTGGCCTGCTAGCTTCTTAATTTCTTCTAAAAATTCTTCTTTGCACTTCTCCTTTACCTGCTTACATTTTCTGTCCATCTCTCCTTGTGCGTTGGCCACAGCTTTATTTACAGCCTGCCTTTTCTCTTCTTCCATCTCTGTACGCAGCTGCCATCAGAAAGTCAGCAAAACAAGTCAATGGACAGCTACTGGAATAAAAGTGTCTTCTTTAAACCTCTACTTTTTAAACCTCTATTATTGATGTGAGTGGAGGTCACAAAATTAGAGATTTCTCCTAATTAGAAAACAAAAAGTTCTCTCCTTTAGAGTTATAACAAAACTTCCATTCCATAAGGAATGTTCAAAATTAAAATGTCACCATATTTCTATTCTGCTAGGCACCTACTTAAACAGCTCAATAGGTTCCACGTATATTTTGTCAACAATCAGTTTACAGATTTGTGAATTTATCTTAGACAAAGACTTTGTCTTTTCCAAATCTACAACTGCGTATAAATCTACAGCAAGGGCACAATGGAAAATACAAAACAGAGCATCCCTTAGTTCAGTAAGAGGTACCTTTTAGTATTCATTGGTGGTGGGATTCCTTTGCCCTTGCTCAGTTATCTGAAAGTTTGGTATCTTAATCCTACAGGATTAACACCTAAACTCCCTCAGTTCATTCCACAGTCCTTCATTCAGAAGGAAACTAATCTTGTCTTAATACAGGTACTTAAGAGAGGTCAGACAAATCATCCTCTAAATTGTCCTGCTCTCTCCAGCCAAAGGTGACCAGCTCAGGCTTAGATATTGAATTTTAAACAGGTTATGATTAGGTAAGAAAAGTCAAACAAATTTCAGTGAATCTATTTAATGTTTAGGTCAGAAGATTGACACAAGAAAAGTTATTTATGAATAGCATTTAAACAATGCCATTGTTTGCAACCACACTTGACAACAGAGACAAAGGCTTTGGAAATGGATACTCATGAATGAACAATTAGTTTCATTTTTGGATCATAAACTAAATTCACTGGTCAAGAATGAAAAAAGGCAGGAGTCTTTCTGCTTAAGCTAAGGTCTGTTGGTACAGAAATGGTCTAAAAAGCAACTGTGAAGATTATTTTTATGTGGTCTCTTTGGAAAAGTTTTTTTTATTCATTTGCTTAAGGGTGGATATTACAAACGTAGAAAAGAATGTGAAAAAAATGCACGCTCCTCCTCTCCTCAAACCAGAGTGTAGGTGGTGTTCGACAAGTGTTACCTTTTCCACTGCCTCTCGCACAACTCTCTCAGTGTCTCTTTTGTGATCGGCTTTCATCCTGTCCTTGAAATCGTTAAAGATTTTGGTGTATTTGTCATGGCACATGTTCTGACATACTCCATCATTACTGGTCTGGGTGCTCCGATGCAGCATTTTTGGAGAAGAGGCACTTAACTTCTTGGTCTGAGTTGAGACTGAAACTTTTTCAATGGGCTGAGGCATTGTGGGAATTTCCTGGCTTGAACTTACTGCTTCAGTTTCAGGTTCTGGCTCCTACAGAGAAAGAACAAACTTGTAAATCCAGACATCACAACAGAACAAGTTTACTTTCAGTTCCCCCTGAAGAAAAAATGTTACATGACCAATGCCAGCAAAATTAATGTGAAAGGTATCTGCTGAAGACATTTAGTGCTAAAGGAACATGGGATTCCTGAGGAAAACCGGCATGACAGGGGGTAGGATCTTTGGTCAGGCTTTTCTGACTTCAGCTACGAGCCCTCCAGAAAGAAGCACACATGTGGCATCAGTATGCCACGCTCACCAGCCTCACTCCCCAAAAGCAGAACCAACATCAGAGCCTATGCTGAATCACTGCAGATCCCTTGGGATTACTAAAGAGTTGCTATAGATTCTTCCCTCTACCATTTTCCCTGAAGAGACTGTAGCTGTGTGGCCAAGGTGCCTGAATTATTTAGGCAAACTCTGGGCTTACTCTGGCCCAACAGGCTCCACTGGAGTCTGTAATATTCCACCAATTTCATAAAACTGCTGCAAAGATTGATTAGTACTTCAAAGGTGATTTGAAGATGAAAAGCTAATGAGCGTCTAAGTCTCGCTTCCAGTAAAACAGAACCAGACTTGAGTGACCACAGAAACTTTCTGTAATTACACAATTATCAAGAAAGAAATCGTAGTTAGTGTAGTATACTGTACTGAATTCAGCAGCCTATGCTATTACCCTATAACACCAACTGTTCCTGCTCTTTAGAACAGACAGAAGTAACATCCTTGCAAATCCTTATTGGTATTTGAAGTGTCTGAAGACACAGATGAACACTATTTGGGTTTTTACAACTTAGATTTTTTTAAAGCTCATTTAACAGTGTACAGACAAAGCAGACACAGTCCTTGTAAGACCAGACGTGCTCAGGACTGGACTTTGTGCTTGCCTGTGTGATGGAGCACTGCTCACAGCAATCAAAAGGCTGACTGTGCGTTCCCTTTTGCAACCAATTACTCTCTAATAGGTCACTGTGATTGACTTCCGGATCACTGATCAAATATGAGCAGAGCTAAGAAGGCAAATGTTAAGACATAAATATATGAAGCAACTTACAGCATTTGCTTGACAGAAAACACAATAAAAATGATGAGAGATCCTAAACTGTAGTCTCCCTATCTTGCACTCAAATATAGTTTGTGCCCCAGGGAGCACAACCTGTGTGTCACTGCCTCCATCGATGAAGGTGCCTCCCAGAGCTAGCCCTGCCGTATCAGATACAACAGAGAGGCAGGTGCCTAGGCATTAGGAGTGGCAACGTCTGTATTTCAGGCACCAGGGCCATCCCACATAACTCTGGCGCTAGAATACCTGAACCCTGCTCTGTAATGGAGTCCTGAGTCCTCTTGTGAGGACTAGACATACGTGTAACTTTTTATTAGTGTTCAACATGCAGCTGAAACAAGGCCAGGAAAAAATACTCAAAAGTTAGGAAAGATGAGATTTATGGCTGTCTCAGCAGCTGCCCCCTTGTGTACAAGCATAATAATGCAGTCCCTTGGTTACATGATCATAGGTTTGTGTGTCCCCCACTTCATTCAGTGTGCAAGTTGGATGAACTAGGAAGGAGGTCCACGGACAAGGGGGGATATGACATCTTATAAACTTAATATTCTTGATTGTGCAAAATACTTTCTAATTCTGCTGTTTACAGACTTAGTACGTAGCCTGAATTTGTCTTTAAAAAAAAAATATGTCGCAAACTGACTGTTGATTTATTCATCATACAGAATATTACCACAATGACACTAGTGGCTTGCATGTGGGAGGTGGGATTATGTTTGTTAGCAAGGAGGACCAAGCTATGGGGCTGGAACTTCCAAGATCAGTACTGTAAAATCAGTAGAAGGTGACAGAAACCAAAGGAGTGCCTATTAAAATTTCAGCCTTTTTGTACCTGGCTATCTCTACAAACATAGTAATTGAGGTTACTTACTTCTTTCTTGAGTTCCATACTCTGGTTACGTCGTCCTTTCTTTGCTCTTGGTTCCTGAGTAACTTTCAGCTGTGAACATTGAGAAAAGCATATTGAATCATTCCAAAAAACAGTTCATATAAGCAGCATTCATTATAACATGACTGATGTACCTTTTATTTTCCGATTATTTTCAATTATTTAAATTTAGCAAATAGAAAGTTGAATACTGTTCTTAAATGAGAACTGCACACACTGAACTTTCCACATTATCACTGATGACTATGGTTGCATGAAAGAACAAAATTCATGAACAGGTTCTAACATTCAATATCTACTTGCTAAAATACACTTAACCATTCTTTTCTTCATTTCACACACAAGTTCAAACACTTGTTTTCTGGAATATTCTGATATCGGTAACCAATAATTAGGCAGCAGACCTTGCTGGAAGGCACAAAAAACAGCAATAATTATAAAGAGAATGTATATACCTAAAGATGGTAAGATTATCCAGACTTGCTATAATAATTGATTGTAACCGTATACTTTGGGGTACAAAACTTCAGTCTTAAGAATAAAAGCCAGTCTCCAGCAACAGAAACAAGAGTGAGATCTAAGTGGATGGTATATTATCTTACAATGGCTTACAGAAAAGTTCTTACTCCTGTCTTTGAAGCATCCAGTACTAGCTTGTGTTAGTGACGGGATACTGTAGATTACTGCAGAGCACTGAGTTTGACGGCTACTCTTATGTTCCTGTATCTGGTAAACCAGTGAAACCAGTGAAACAGGCATAAGCATTAACCAAGCGAAGGACAAACATTTGGAGTGGGACAGAAAATACGCAAATGGACACTTCAAACCCTATGACTGACACTCCTGAAAACCTGGGAAAATGCCACTGTTAACTTTATAAATATTATTTGCAACGTTTTTCATCATATATTGTTGCATGACTGCATACATGACATAAATAAAGGGGCTAAAAAGGGTTAGCTAAGTAAACCACGCTAAAAAAACCCTAAAACCTCTTTGATAAGGAGCATCCCCTTAAAGCAACATCTAGTTTTATAAGCTTTAAGTTTTTAGCTAGAAATTGGATGACAGTCCTGTTTGACAAAAGGACCAAAGAAGAGGGTCAAAACATGCTGATTTTTTAAAATACAGACTTAGAGAGAGGATAATGGTTTTAAGTGAGGAAAGAAGATGTGGCCAAGGAAAAGGCTGCCAAAAATACAGAGAGGCATCCTGCAAGCTATGAAAATCGTACTGCCAAGTCAGTAGTAGTGAATATATAACACCCTCTTGGACAATGAATGGCTAGCAGGTTCAGCTGTGATAAGGGAATTTCCATATGGCAATGCAAAGTTTTGTATCTTGGCCCTTTGTGCTTTTCACTTTTGCTAAAGCAATATAATTTTTCTTGTTTTGCAGAATCATTTTTGATTACTTTAATTAGTTACTGGTCACATGGTCCTCAAGTGCCATGTTTGCACCTAACTTTAGCTGGACTTGCTGAAAATGTCATGGTTGGTGTTACTCGGGGATCTGCAACGCAGAATACTGTCCAAAGTGAACAGACTCCAGCTGTGAAAAGGCTGAACAGCTAGAGGGCTGTCCCTTGATGGAAGTCCAAGAAGGCAGTATTGCAGTCTATCTGATATCCATGACATTTAACTTGAACATTCCTATTTAACTTTAGAAATCTTGGTCTGTCTCATCAAGGTGCTGTAGGTGACAAACTTCTTGACCTTCTTCCCAGAGGTCATCCAAGAAACTGAGGAAAGAGGAAAACTCTATATTCTTCCTATTACTAAGCTACAAAACATCAGGAAAATAAGCCTTTGAACCCTCTTCTTGTCACCACAAAACTGCAGACAGAGCACAAGGCCAATTTAATGGTAGATTAATAAAAAGTATGTCATCTTTGTACCCTTTTATAAATTGTCCCGATTGCTAACATTGTGGCAGCACTCACTTGCTCATTGCTGGTGGAGGAGATACTCGACTCTGCCTCCTCTTCCCCTTTATCCTCATTCTTTGATTTCCAGAATCTCCCCTCACGAAGAAAACGCTGGTGCAGTTCCAGCTCATCACAGGCCTTCTTCCACCCCATACTGCGTTTCACGTGCAGCCGATGGATGTTAACTGTGATATCTTGAATGTTTTCAGAAGGGATCCAGGCCCTTTTGAATACACAGTACAGACAGGTTCAGAAACATTAAATACAGATGAAGGATTTTGACCTGAGAAACTGACTTCAAGAGCAGTTTTTCACAGTGGCCAATCACTAACAATTCCTTTTTACTCAGAATTTTTGTATCTTCAACACATTTGAAAAAAAACCAGACTGCATACCGTTAGATATTTGTGCTACTATAAGCAGTTGTTAGTTGCGGGTGCTATGGCTGAAATTCTCTTTCATTTTTGGTGAACCACAAACCTCCCTCAGCACCACCAGCAGTCACATCTGCTGCCTGCTCTCTTGCTAAATGCCCTCAGTCAGACACAGAAACATCTTTACTGAAGGTTCGTGTGCTAATCTAATTTTGCTCTTAACCTCTTTGCTAAAACTGTCAAGGAATCTACCAAATTATCACCTCAAATAGACACATTTTGTAGTTTGGGCTATCCTGTCTATCAGGACTGAACTCATGTGGGGGGACTGTCATGCTCTTGTGGACTGACTGCCTGCCAGTGGCTTGGCTCCAAAGGTACTTTGTCCTCTTCTATATTTTCAGAGATTCCTCATAGAGTTAGATGGGCAGCTCTTGACATTTTGAAAGGTTATACCAAGCAACATTGAAAATTAAAGAAAAAGAGTCACTGCCATGCACATCTACATAACAGAGTAAATACTGTAACAAATTAAACATCTGTGGACAGATTCTCAGTTCTTGCAATATAAATTTCATTTCAGTGAAGTCAAAGAAACAATGCCAATTCACACCAATCAGGAATTTGGCCTTTTGTCCAAGTCCAGCACAGTAACTAAGCAATGGCACTGTAGTAAAATGTATTTTGCCTTTTCTATCAACACAGGTTTCAGAAGTTGCAAGCACCTCATCCCACAAGTGTCATACTACTTCACTGAACAGTTTGAAGCTGTGTGAACTTAATGCCAGAAGTATTAATGAGATAAGCTGTATTTGCAAACAGACTCAGGGTAAATCATTCTGTGATTGAGAAACAAATAAAGATCCTTAATCCACTTTAATGCCTATTAGAAAATCTTGGTTGTTCACATAACAAATGAAAACATGTTATATACTCTGCAAGTTACACTGAAAGTATTTTAAATAAACAGCCTCATAAAACACTGTTACTGAATTGTGTAGGCCCTTTTGGGATGCACCAAAAATATATCACCTTCCCAACAACCATGAATTACTTTGCAAAGGTCTCCTCTCCTCTCCTCACATTATAGTCATATAAATCGAACAGCAAAAAAAAATTAATACATCCACTGTAGTAACACTACTATAACCCTCCCCAAATGCTGAACAAACAACTGGGGATGGAAGTAAAAGCTGATCTCTAAGAATGAAGTTTCCAATGTAAAGAGTTCTCCAAAATCGCCAACTAGCTCACAGCAGGAGCTCTGTCAATGTTCTAGCAGCGATACAGAAACATTTGTGATGTATATTATGTTACTAAAACACAAAATTGCAATGTGCTTGCTCAAAAGAGAAAATTACATAAAGTCAATACTGCTGGTAGTAAGAATACACTTCTGCCTGATTTCCACCTTGGCCTGGATTAGCAAGCTGCTACTGATTTGAAGAAACAGTTGAAGTTCACTTGCTTTCTTTAATTAAAATGGCATTAAGTAACACCCCTATGGCAACTGCAGAAAGCGAATCTCTGAGACATTTGGCAACTTCAGATGTGTTAGACTGAGCTTTAAATTTTCTGAAACAATTATGACAAAGTACTCAGTCCTTCTAATGTTGGCAACTAGCTGAGCCAGGACTTACAGCATGATAGATGAGATAAATTCTTTTAAGTATTGTTTGTAAAAAGCAGCACATGGAATTAATAAATTACCTTTGATGGTGATGGCCAAAAAAGCGAACGTCAACTTGATTGTCCTCTTTCTGCATGACTTTGGCTGGCCAAAACCCAAAGCCTTTCATTTTGGCCCAAACCAACTCATGATTAGGTATCTGGAAAAAATGTTGTATTTATTATTGGATATGAAGTATTATATTGATTTCTCCACAAATATTTTGCTGTAATACTATGCTAGTATCTTAAGAATATGGTTACTGTTTATGTCTAGTGCTATTTTCATTTTTATCTTCTTACAATACATATTTCTCTGTTAGATGTATTGCTTGGATCAAAGTAAAAATAATACAAAGTCTGAAAAGGGTGTAACTGTCTATTGAAAACACAGATCTCAAGCAGCCCAAAAATTAAACTTGTCTTTATAGCTTCATCCAGGAGCAAAGTTTTATTTCTGTAAGCTCCTTATTTTCTTGTGAGACTGTTGTAAATGGCTGATAACCAAGTTTTATAACCTATATTGTTACAGCTTTGAACTTCAATCAACATTTCACTTGTGCAAGGTATCTAGGCTTACAGAGTCTCAATCACGCTTTTGAAACAAGCCTATGGAAATGCAGTATTCAACACATTAATGACACCAAAACTGCAGGCTTTTATACAGAAAAGCAAACAAACAAAAATCCGTGTCAGCAACATACGCAAGGATAGCAGAACCAGTTGTCAGGTCGTGCGTTTGACAAATAGAAACAGTTCTTGCAAAGCTGCAGTTCATCCAGCTGAAAAACAAAAAAGGGTCAATAAGCCCCAAAAATCCTATTTCTGTGACTTTAGTAGTATCCTTCCCTGTTTAGCACTTAAATTTTTCAGCCCTGCTTGCCAATTTGGTAGAGTTATTTCCGTCTGTGCAAACTAGAGGTGTGAAACTGAGGTGAGCTGACAGCGGATGAGAGACAAGCTGCATAAACGTTATTTATGTTTTAGAAAAACAAGGCAGAGGGAGGAGACTAATTAAACTCTTAATGATTTATTACAGCTAAAATGCGAAGAATAGTTCTTGAAATTCATCAAATATTTAAAGTATATTCTGAGAGAAGTAATTCAACTGTACAAATGGAGGAAGTGTGACAGCTCCCCTACGGTTACGTTTTGGCCTCCTCTGAATGTTGAGAAATGTTTCAATGCCAATTACAGAATTTGGTAGCAATCTCACCTCAGGTTCAATTTATATTAGCAAATACAATTATTTCTAGTCCAATTATGTATTACTAGATTATTTTCAAAACTAAAATTTGAATATCGGTATTTTCCAAATGATAGTCTAGTTGCAAAAACAAAAAGAAAAAGAAATTCAGAATCAGCTGTTAGAAAGTTAGGGGAAAACTTGTAATGAACTTCACAGCCTTTTGTCTACATCTTGGTTACTTGGTACTACTTACTTCATGACATGTGTCTTTGTAAAGCATCCTCGCTATATCAGCTTGTTCACTGTCCGCTATAAATTAAAAAAAAAAGTATGAATGATCACAGTATGATGACCGTGCTTACAAAGATACGCAGCTGTCATTGCTATGACTTTCATGCTGTCATTGTCTCACTTGAGAATACAAAACATGATTTAATCACTTGGATAACCCTTACATTTAAAATTTTCTTACAATCAGTTCTATATTTGATTTCTTTTTCATATTTACATGCAAAAATACTGTTGTGAGCTTTTAAACTGAACAATACAAGTACATATATGAGGAGCAGCAGCAGGGAGACAGGGTTACTCTTAATACGGATCCAGTCTCTTTCTCTGCTAGTGTCCTAATGACACACGGCTCTCTGCTATCACCACTTGACAGGAACACAGGTACAATCACGTAAGTATTTCTGCTCAGAGTAATGCTTCACAGGCTATTTATCACTATGTGTTTCCCTTTACACTGGTGTATTTCTCTGTCAGCACATTCACATCTCTCCCTTCTAATGACAGTCTGGACCTTCTGATGCTGCAAATAGACTGGTCCCACCCTCCTCCCAGTTTCCCTGATGTGGGCCATGTCTGCAGGCGAGAACCACATACTTCCTGAAATGATGGCTCTGGAGAACCTTGCCACAGGACCTGGCTATAGATTCTGGATGCGGTTGTGGTGTTTTTCCACTTCCAGTCACACTGTCCCACCATATCAAATAGTCACTTACTACCTTCCCAGTGGCTGGCAGCTTCTGATGGCTGTATCTCCACACATTGCACCAGCAGGACACTTCTAGTGTGTATGTAGCCATATTGCTGTCACAACAAGGCAGATATGGCCCACGAGTGAAAAATATGTGCCTATAGTACATGTTTCTGCTGACACAGCACATTAGAGTCAGACCTCCTTCCACTCTAAAACAACACGCATACTGGCAGAAATCTGCAGTATACACTGACTTACGACTTAGGCTGCAGAAGAAACAGGATGTCAAAGGTGCAAATTCCCATTAACAGGTTTAGCTAGAGAGGAAGAAAATAGTTGTGTAGTAGGCAGGCCAGAAAAGACCCTGCAAAATCCTCTTCCAGCTTCTTTTGATTTTTAAGGGCTCTCAAATGACCTCATCCACACTCATCTAATACCAGATTCAGTCCAGATCTTGTGAATTTAAAGATAAATCAAATAAAGCAAGCAGTAAATGTAGTACTTTACCTCCATAGAAAATCACTGTGTTGTGTAGAAGCAGCTGAGCATCTGCTTTGAACTCCTCATAACTCCTGTACTTTCCTTCATTTACTTTCTACACAAAAGAAAACATAGGACTGTGAAAAAACTGTTAAAGTGCTGTACCTGTTTTATGCAGAGAAGCTTTCACAGAAATCTGCATTATGCAACACAGATCAGACACTGCATACTCTTTGACTTGGTTTGTTAGTACTTGGACACTGGCTGCATTGGTCCCTTTATGCAGTGCCCAGAAGTAAAACGGGAGCTTTAATATTTGACTGATAAAAAGATTCTCTTGGTTATAACAAGGTAAATCTGGAGTAACTTCATCATAAGGTGTGGCCCAGGACACTTGTTCCAATTAAAATATATTCCCTGAGGTGAAGATTTGGTGCCTTAAAATACCAGCTAGTTTCAAATCAATGTTGACTGCCTTTACACTTCTAGGAGGCTTTTCACACTTATGGTTGTAAAGGGCAATATATACTACAGCCCTGCACAGCAATCCAGTTGAAGCAATGAATAAAGATGAATGTGCTGTTCATTTTGGTCACGTGCAGTTCATTTCAATGAGTCATGGTCAGACCTTCGGCTCAGACAAAAAGAACAACACATTTACTAATACTTTATTTTTGGAACAATTAATGCAAAACAGATGTTTTAAGTGAGTCTTGTTTTTTCGTGATCAACAAAATGATTGGTTATTTATGAATCATTTAGATGTTTATAAAGTTGCCACCTACACAAGGCCTTAATGACTAAAACTGGAATATGGTCAGATATGCAAACATGGGCATTCAAGTCCATATTCAGTGACTTAGATAAAGAATACTTTCTCTAAAGATTTCAGCTACCTACAGTTCCTAGTAAAACCTTAGTACAAAAGGAATTGACGATACTCTATGTCTGAAAATGAGGCACCAGTCAAAATGGTTTTACTCCATTACCTATTTACGAGGAAAAGTTTGAAATTTTAAGTTCTCATATCTAAATGCCAGATACAATACCAAAATACAGATCGTAAGGAGCATTAAACAGGATTAGTGCTGCAGTCCTTAAGGTTTATCTTTCCTGTCAAAAGACAGCATAAACAGTGCGGAAGTTAGAAAGCAAATCACTCTACCTCCTGTATAGTAGGAACATCGACAGCTGAGTGCACCAGCCTTCTATACATTGGGTGTTTGCTGTCCTTCCCCTTCTTGTTTAGATCTATAGCCTGAAAGGACCATTGCACAGAGTAAGTTATTGCATTTAGAATCTGCTTAAAACACAAAACAAAGATTAAAAAAATGCAATAGTTCGGAATATTGCAGGTGGGAAATACACAAGGCCAAACTGCAGATCCATATTCTGACAGATTACATGTGTCTCAAACCTGAAAAATGTCCATTTCAGAGAAACCACAGGCCCATGGCATAAACTACTCCTGCCAGAATGATACTAATCTGAGCAATGAGACATGGTAAGTGTATGTTGAAAAACACACACCGCTTACGACTGTGGAAATAAAATGACACCCTCTTGTAGCCCTCCTCCCTGCACAGTTAGTCCCACAGGGCGAACCGCAATGCATCCTCTGCAGGGCAACCCAACATGTCAATAAACTCCCCTGTTTCAGACTCACCCGCTCCTTCATACGAGAGACTATGAATCGCAGGTATGTGCTCATCTCTTGTTTACTTGTGTTTTTCTTCTTGATACTCTGTCAAAGAAAAATAGGATCATATTATTATTTTAAACCTGACTTCAAAATTAATCCAATAAAAATTTTCTCTGCGTCACAACATTATTTGAAAAGGTAACTTTGAATCACATATCACACAATTTTTTAGGGAAAATCTTTTCTGGGAAATTAGCAACACTGACACATCACAACAACAATATATGTTGCTTTGACTTATGTCTGGGCTGAGGACTTCAGCTACAGAAGAATTACAAGTTTTATTTCCACTTGTATCCATAACACTTCGTCAAAACCTCTCACGTAAAAAAGTGTCTAATTAGAATAAAGCAATGAAGAAAGGCATTTTAGGGAGTAGTTTAAAATTTATTTAATGGTCTTTTTATAGCAAGGCATTAATATTTTCAGTAAAATAAGAAATGATTTTTTAAAGAATATCCTGTACCATCTACAAATTATGTGCTTCCTAGGCAAAATGACACTGTCTAGGAGGAAGTCAAACATGGTCTAGCCAGTAAAAGCTCAAAAGCACTTTTTGCTGCTGAAAAAACATAGCAGCTGTTGATTTTTGTGGTTCTTCCTTCAAAAAAACTAATCCAGATTCCAGAACACAGACTGCTTCTTTTTAGCAGTTCAGGATCCAGAGTTTTTCCCCCTTATCTTAGACTAGTATAGACACTTATCCTCACCCTCCAAAGTCAATCCAGGCTAGCGCGAAGCACTCCATACAGAAAACGCACTACTAAAGAGAAGGCAGCTCTCTGCAAATGCCTGGCGTGTTCCTGCAAACCAGCCTTTCCAATTCCAGGTCACAGCAGCTGGGCACAGTTCTGCATGGCCTGACCACAGCTGGCTGAAAAGTGCCACCTCGTCCTTGCTCTTGCCTACAGAAGCTCTCCAGAACAAAAGCACGGTGAAACAATCACACGGGTTTCAGGTTTATTATCCTGAAGTGATTTCTAACTGCTCACGTCTTTTGCAAAAATGTTTATTCCTCCTCACACCTCCAAATGCACCAAGTGCCAAGCTGACTTCTGCCCTCTCATGCCTCACATCACCAGCTCTATGCAAACTGCGTGGACCAAACTGGCTCAGTTACACCCGCATCCCCAAATTTTGATGGTCTTTAGCAAGATCCACTAACTGACTGTTGCTTAGCAAACACAAGAAAAAACAGCAGCCATGTCCTAATAGGTAGCTAACAGAGATACTAAGCTTATGAACTATTAATCACTAGAAGTGTGCTATTTGTAACTGAATTACTTATATATGACTCTGACCATATAGAGGGATCAGACATATTGAGTACAGAGCAACTACTTTCACATATTTACACGGCAAAAGTAAAAAATACGCACTAGCTCAAAAAAAAAAGTTAGAATTTGATTGTGTCTCCTCTGCTTATATTCCTCCTGCAAGACACTGAAAAATCACAGGTTGGCCTTTGTGCTACAGCAAGTGTGCAACCTAGACCTCTCAGGATTGTACTTACTGCCTCCTTAAATCAAAATTGTACACAGCACTACCAACAAAGCTGTTTATTTGATTGCTTAACAGTGTGCATAGAATCATTACAAACTGTGCTGATATATCAGTTCAGTCATGAACCTACGTAGATACTACAGTATGCGTAACAGCACTACAGCTTTTTCCTGATTGGGCACTACAACTACTGAGCAAAATTCACTGTTGTGGAAACGGCCAGCACTAGGTCTTTCTGACGCTTACAGTGCATTTAGGCATCCTTTTCAGACCTTCCTTCCAAACTCTGGAACAAGACAAAATTTTACCCTGTGCTGTATGTCTGAATCGCCTTTTGTATATTCATTTTTTGTCTGCCATGAGAACGTGTATTCTGCTGGAATTCAATTCACCTCTTCAGTTTTGCATAAATCAACATTGCTACTCTGAATGCAAACCCAAATGTGCACTAAATTATCTGTATTACGAAATGCTGCTGTCATTTTGTCATTTTAGCCAGTGGAGCGCTGTATGCTTGCTAATGACGCAGCATTTGAAGACTGAAACTTATCAGGACACAATAAAATTCACTTGCACTGACTAGTCCTTCTGCACCTCCTTTCCTGACATGGTTCTGAATTTATCATCCTTTGAAAGTATTTCAGAATTCATGTGAACAATTTTTCATGCCCTGCTGGGCAAGACTGTTCGTAAGAGACTGCGTTAAGATAGATGGTTTACAGTCTTATCCTTCAGATCATAAGAAAAGACAGATAGCTGGCTTTGCACCGTTATTGATGTCAGCAATTAATATCATCTTAAGCACCAATGAAAATGATATAATTGCCAATTCAGGCAAACTTGAACTTCTCCACTTTTCCTTCAGTTCCCTACATTGATTTATTCTAAGAAAAATTTGATCTCCAGGTTCCTCTACTAAATGTTGAAAGGTAATGAATTTAGGGAATCAGAGCCTATGAGCGAGCAAAATGTCTTTTTATGGCAAGGTTGCTTACCCTTTGCAGAAAGCAAATTATAATCCAACCACTGCATTTGCTTTTCAACAAAGATTAGCCCTTCAGGAGGTACCACTCACAAATTCTTTGGAAGCTATAATGGAAAATGTGCAATCTTTTAACATGTCCCCCCCTATTATGTATCTTGAAGACTTGTAGTGTTCACAGAGAAGTCAACCTAGAGCCACTTAAAGCAAGAAAGTAGATAATACTAGATGGGGCATGTGAATTGCATAAAAACTATTCGTATTGCTCTGACACAAGAAAATCTACCCACTTTTAGGTCCCTTTATAGCCAGAGTGATATAGAAGCAAGTGTTAACGAAAATGAGATCTTTTAATTTCCTACTTTTGGGAAACAAAACCAATGATGGTGGCTTGTGAATCTGTAAAAGCTGCAAGATCCACTGTGTATCTCTTCCCACAGTTCGATCTACTAAGACATGCTACTGCAAACCTTGTTTACGCACAAGTGTATTTTGACGAGATTGCTAAGATTCAATCCAGCCCCAAAAGATTATCAGCATCTTTATATTGTAGATATCCTATCTGCAGGATATATTATCTTAATATAGGATTGTACTAGGTCTGGCTGGGATGAAGTTAATTGTTTTCATAGCAGCTCATATAGTGTTGTGGTTTATATTTGTGACAAAAACAGTGTTGACAACACACTGATGTTTTAGCTCTTGCTGAACAGTGTTTGCACAGTGTCAAGGTCTTCGTTGTTTCAAATTCTGTCCTCATGGTGACTAGACTGGGGGTATGCAAGAGGCTGAGAGGAGACACAACCAGGCAGATGACCTGAACTAATCAAAAAGATATTCCATGCCATATAACGTCACGCTCAGCAACAGAGAGGACGGAGTTTAAGGGGTTTAGCCATCTTTTGCCTTTGCATCACTTCTTCTGTTTTCTTTGTCTCTTCTTCCATTTCTTCACTTACTAAACAATTTTTATCTTGACCCGGAAGTTTTCTTGCTTTTACTTGTTCTTTTCTCTTCCTCTGCCCCACCGGAAATTGGGGAGAAGTGAAAGAGTGGCTGCGTGGTGCTTAGCTGCCTAATAGGGTTAACCCACGACGAGGATGATTCCTAAGTCACACCAATTTTTACAGAAATCTGCAACCCTTCTACTTTGAATCACGGTAAACTAAAAGGCTTGGTCGAGCATACATGTTTACACAGGGGATATAGGAGTGAAGTAATAACCTTCACAACAGCAATCCTCATGTAGAAGATTAATGAGATCTGGCAGGTGGAAGGCCAAGGCTGCAACCTAACTCTTTGCTTGTGGGTGCAGGAAATACTTCATATATTCTCTCTGCTTTATTCTCTGCGGCACATCTATTTCTTAGAAGCTAGTACCCGAAGGCTGGATTTACATTGCTTTTTGTATCCAATATTCCAGATTAATAATACTGCTTAACTGTTAAAGAGAGTAGCAATATATTCCACTGTGCAGGTGTGACTTATTTAGCAATTCTGACATGCTTATAGTGCAGGAATTCACTGCAAGACTTTATGAACCACACGAGGTCAGCAGCAGTGAGTGGTACTGCCAAGAACACTCCATCCTGCAGTAGCACCATTTAAGATAGCAGTGACTATCCTTTGCACCCTGAGTGAGCATGTAGCTCTCAACTCCTAGGGTTGATGACAGCCACTATCCTGCAGTTGCTGCAATCTTTCATTTGAAGAGACAAAATAGAGAAACTGTAAGAAATGAGAGGTGTTAGCGACAGCATTCTGTCTAGCTGTAAGAATTTCAATTACATTTTCTCCATGTAAAGAGGTTGCCCTATAACCTCCCATTAACGAAGTTTTTTTCCCTTCCTCCCTCAACTGTCATGTGTATACACTCATTAAAGAGCTTCATTTCAGTTCAGTGATGGATTAGATGAAGGCTGCGCAATGACAGACATGTGTTTCTAAGGCACCAGTTACATTTTCAGGAACAATTCAGGTTTTCAGGGGTGTGTCTGCCGAGGGGAACTATGTGCAAGAGTCTAACACACATTCAGCACTGCTGTTTAGAAACTCCTCGCTTTAGCCACTGGCCCTTGGATTTTTTTAGGGCTTAAATTTCCAGAGGAATTTGGTACTACATATGGAAATCTTTACTGCTCTGCTGCTCTCTCGAACTCCCAACCCTCAGGTCCTCAGGTTTCCTGTACCATTAACAAAGGTATGCAGGCACATGGGATGGGTCTCAGAGCAACCAGTGCACCATATGCCCTAAGCAGCATACAGAAAAGCATCTGCATGAGCAGAATATGGCATAAGACCTGCCTCTTTCAAGACCATATACAGTTCAACCACATGATTCAAAGCATTAGGTGCTTTTGGAAATGTTACAGCTGAATCCACAAATTGGTTTGTACTTGTACGGTGCACTGAGCACCTTCTGAGTAAGAAGTATCATATAAATTAAATATGCTTTTACGTGTACATAGAAGGTGGCAGGAGGCTCGAAGTGGAAGTTTCCCAGTTTTCTCACTGCTGTGGGCAAATTCCTTCATACTTTATTAAGCAAGCCCTATGCAGTGCCCACTTCTGCCAGCTCCCTAATTTGCTCCAGGGTGCACGCAGCTGCAAGGTGAACAGGAGGGACCTGCCGAGCACTAACACCTCCCCAGGTGTGGGCTCTGTGCACTGAACCATGTGGTGTTAATACTGATCCTATACTAGGACCTCCCTTCACCCACCAATCCACGGCTATTATCTGTGTGATGATGCCAAATCCTGTTCATAGAATATGTTTCATCATCCAGTTATCTAACAAACTCCTACCATAACACCCCATGACACAAGTCAATAGAGCCATATCCTTTCTTCCTTCCTTGTATTTCACATTAACCACCCTGACTGACAGCTAGTACCTAAAACTCCCTAAGTACTTGAGTTACTTCACTTAAGTAACCTTCATCTTCCCGTGCTTCTAACTTTCTACTGTTTGCCATTCTCACTTGTCAAATTATGCCTAACATTGATTGTGAACTGCATGATGGTGTATTTTTACTCTATGAAGTGCTCAGTACCAGAACTCAGAAATAGCCTATTTATAGAATACTTATCAGCACAGCATTTAATATCTTAAGCTCTACAGTTTAGTTTACTCTCATATATATAAAAATCAGAAATACTGAAACACCCACTATGATAGGTAAATTGGTTATAATTCCTTGTAAGGCACATGCAGGGAAGATCAATCTCTGACCAGATGATTGTAAAAAATTTAGTAGTCAAGTTAAGCCATACGAATAATTCTTTCTTTTTGTTTCACAGGTCAAAATCTGTTCCTCTGGGCCAAACTATATATCACCATGTGTAATTCTGGCTTTCTAGAAAATTACTTTAAAATTTTATTAAAAAAAAAAAGAAATAATATTTTGTTAGCCCAACATGTGATCAGTATTCTCCTATTCAGATTTGTGTATATATCTGTTTATCCCCTAAAAAAACCTAGTATTTTTGCAGTACTTTCTGTAGTCTTTAGATGCTAAATTAACAGCTGGAGAAAATTAATTTCCTCCTTTTATCTAACCAAAGAGCAGCAATAAATGTACAAGTCTTCAGAGATTGATTTGACTAACCCTGTCTTGAATGGACCATTCCAGTAGGGGGAAAAGACTAATGTAATCTCTAAGTTCATTCAATATTGAGTCTTTCTCGTGTGACCTGTCTACCAGGAATTTTGCTGATAATACCAATTTACTTCACTTAAGACAATTATTAGTCAGCAGTCAGGGAAAATTTTCAATCACTGCAATGTGGTTTGAATTGAACTTTCTTTAACTCTTGACTCCTGCTGAGAATTATGTAGGGTATGAAACGTTCAGATTGGTACTGTCAAGTCAAAAAAAGAATTCAGGAACTAGACATTCTTGTTTCTGGACCCACTGGAGAAAAGTCACCAGCAGGGAAACAAGAGTTCAGAGCAAGGTTTGCAAGGGACTGCTACAAACGTTATGGGAGGAAAAATACTCTAAAGTTATGAATAAATCCTTGGCAATGTCCTTTATAAAATGTTTCTGAGTAGTCAAGTGTGCAAGATAAAGCTGCACAGGTTGATTGAATGAGCACAACCAGCAATTGTGAAATGAATAATCCAAAGGCTTGCTGACCTTGGCAGCATTACAGAAGCAGTCTTTACATAAGAATGAAGTGTTCGTAGATTATTTCTCCCAATGTACTAGGTTTCAAACATACTTTTACTTCACCTTTGTAAAGAGCTTTGAAATCCCCAAGTGAAAAGTGCTATGTCCAGTTACAAGAATAAAGTATGAAAATCTATGCATTTCTTTGTCCTGGCAACTACTTTTCTTGAACGTCCATATTTACTGCTGATAATGCAAAGTAAATCCCATTGCCCTTACGCAAGATAGTTAAGCTCTGTTATGTCCTCTGGACATCAGCCAGGGCTCTTCAAACTACCATAGTTTTTTGAATATAGGCCTCTCTCCTGCTTTTAAAATACAATTAGAGCAGTCATTCCTAGGAAGGTGGGGAGAAAGTAGTGGAAAAATAGTGCAGAATTAGGGCTTGAAGTGCTTTGAACTAATAATTACAAAGAAAATCAGAGCTACCAGCACATAGGGAAAAAAGATGCCATGGCATTCAAAATGGCAATATTCACAAAAACAGGTTGATCATTATCTGAGGCACTGAGCAAGCCAAAGATCTCTGGGGCAGGAAGTATTTAAGAGCCCCCAAAACTTCTTCTTAGTCTTTGTATAACAAAAAAAGGAACCAATATGCAGAAACACAGACACAGTGCACATGGTCTGAGTTTCACAGGATTTTTTTCAAGGTAAACATTTGTTTAATATCATTGCCATAAAGGATTTCAAGGCTCCAGGATGAAAGTCAAACTGATCTCAAAGCTGACCACCCTACATATCTGTGCATATTTCATGCAATGATTCAGCATTCCACTCTGACAACATTCGTGTTACAAGATAAATGTTATAAGCCACCTCATATACAACATGGCTTAAACCATCTGCATTCTCTACTCTCACCAGGTCCCATCTAAAATTACTGGTAAACTAGAGTGGAGACTGGATCCAGTTTACCTAATTTTAACTGTTTATAAGAAATATTAATACTTCTTACAAGAACCAACAATTATTAAAGAGATTTATTTAGAAATCTGAAAGCAATTCACCTGTAGACATTTGAAATACTGAGCAGCTAAATTAAATGCTAGTAATGAAATATCAAGAGATACAGTACACGTCCTTATTCTTAACTGGTTTTTTTTCCCTGCCATTACTTCCTTTTCTTTCCTTTCCACTTTCTTGAGGCAGGCTCAATTTTCTTGCTATTTCCCTAAACCTTGAGAGCTCCCAATCTGAAGCAACAGGCAACAGGTTTTTTACAACTGGTTCTAAGTTAACAGCAGTTAGAAAGTGTTGTTTGGAAACAAAACTATCCACGTGTTTTTAAAAACTGCTTCTCTGTATGATGAAGTGCCTGAATCCTTACATTCCTTGCAGCACAGATCATCTGAAGGTCAGTCTGCTGCTCTACGGCTAGATCTAAGCTTTCAGCAAGGGAATTTCCTCTCCCTCCAGCAATCCACAGCAGAGTGCAACTGGCAATTTTATGCCTTTCTATAGCAATAATTTTATCTTAAACATTCATATGCATTGTTCCCTGACCAGCATCCTGACCAGAATGCTTAGTCTTCTAATGACATGTGGACAACATGCCTGCTCGTTCTTGGAAAGTATATAAAAATACTCTTTGCTGTCTCCCTACCACACTCATAAGAATAGTAATTTTAAAGAAAAAGCAATATAGATATAGATGCTATGGGTGAAATCCAGATTGGCCTTTTTGCACCAATAGAATCTACAGAAGTAAATGAGAAGCAGGATTTCACTCCATATTTTTTGATACTGCCCTCATCAGTAACATAATTGTGGCTTTATAATGAAAAATATGATTCCAATAAAATATTCAGCATGTAGTCATCAAAATACAAAAAAAAATTACATTATGATTCATTAAAATGATGTTAGGTAAAAAAAGTAGCATCTTATACAGCAATTTGTTGAAGATTTCCACAATATATTGCATTCACACGTGGCATACATACGTACACACATTCCCACACAGTATACTGTGTGCGTTCAAATGCATAAGTAAAACTTGCTAGAGTCTTTAAAAATGACCATCTGCTACATGCACCATATTTTGGTATCTCTGTATAGATGCTCTAGGTATGTACCATTGTTTCAATATTCAGTTCTTTATCCATTAACCTGGCCAGACCATCTGGACACCTTAATGAATCTATTAATGAATATCAATCCTCTAATCAGCACATGAAATCTCATAGGTACTCACCCTGCAAACTGGGCACTGCCAGTGACTACTGCTGTCTCTAAGCCTGAACTCATCAGACAAACACTTGGAATGATACACACGAAAACACAGGTCACATATCAACACCTCTCCAGGCAAATGGCATTCAAAACAATACCAGTCATGATTTTCTGTTTCCCAGTCCTACAAAAAATACAAAATATTTTGGTATGACATTCTGTCAAAATCTGCAGGAACTAAGAACAAAATTGATATGTCTTGAAATCCAGCAGCAATTAAGACATTATAAACATTTTAAAAAGTGTATAATGTTTAAAAAACAGGGGAAAACCTACATGCTTAAAGATCTTCATCAGTTTAATACACACTAACTCCAACAGAATATGAATGCCAAGTTTTATTTTTTTCAAGTGTCTAATTAGTACCAATTTCAAATATGAGCTCTGTCCACAATGAAAAGTGGGTTTGTTTTCTACCTTTGTGTAAAAACACTTGTTGACCTCTCTGTATTAGACTACAAACAAGAGTTTGTGCCTCTAAACAGACCATACCTATTTCCTTGGACTACTTCCCCTTGTTTTGATTGTTACAGTATATTTTCAACTGTAATTTTCTGAAGGGTGGTCCCTTCCAGTCTTCACTCTCTTAACACTGACAGCTTTTCAGTATCAAAGTGTTGAGTTACAAGAAATAAATGAAATCATTAACCTATTACTGCAAGAAAAGTTTCTGCTAAGCAATCCCAATGTAATTAAAAAAAATACAAAATGTTTCACTTGCAGTGCCCAATAGCACTAAGCTTACTCCTGAAATGTTCTACAGAAGACAAAGGATATGGTTCTGCTGATGCACAGATGTCTTTAATACACTCTTCCTTGAAAATTCAGCCCCAACAGCCAAATTCCGACCTTTGAAACATGTGCACAAGCTTTGCTGAAGTAGATGAGAGCAGCATGCATATAATTTGAAGGCAGAATTTTGCTCTAAGAATCTGTAGTACTAAAACCAGCTAGAACTGGCAGTGGCCACTGCTAAATGTTTGTTATCTGTAATGCCACACTTTTCCCTCCACTTAGAAGACAAAATAGCTAAAAAAAAACCCTACACTTAGAAGACAAAATAGCTGTCATAGGTAAAACTCCCAATGCCTCTTCATGTCAAATGTCACTTTTCAATGGGTTCAGATCTCTGAAAAAATTATTCCTATTCTTCAACAAATTATCCTGATAAAAAGCTGATCAAGCTATTTTTAACGTCATGTTGTAAAGGTGGAGTGAGCAATTCGCACCAACTGCCAGAACTGGCATTTGTCCGATTCTCATCTCCCCGCGCCCAGGAACTACAGTCAGCTAAGCCCTCGTGTGAGGGGTCTCCTCCAGCGGAGCCGCGTGGGACGTGCTACACAGCAGTGGCACTTCCAGTCCCTTGTGCTGCAGAGCAGCCATGCTGTGTACACAACTCATCTGATCGGAGCCCTCCGCGAACACAAGAAGTTTAGGGACGACCTCAATCCAGACTGCCTACACTAAATTTTATATACCATGAACGTTAAGACTGCAGGGGCATTAAGTTTAGGGGGAAAAAAACCCCAAACAACCCTTAACCAATGACTTCTGAACTCAGAACTTTGCCCTCCTTTGTTGTTCAAATTAACAGTAGAACTTGACTCTTCTATCGTTTCTCCTCATTTAATTCTACTTGTCAGTTCTGTCTATCTCAGAATGGCATAGTAACACCACCAAATTTGGCTACAGAGGACACACTCTCGTTTCACCAAAACTTTCCCCTTCCACAAAGTCCAGTGGCAGTCCACTTTGGGAGCCCTTTCGCTATGATATTTTAGAAACAACTAAAGATACTGCATTGTCGATGTACTTGATTTGCCTGCAGACTGAGAAAAATCAAGATAAAGTATTGCTTTATATTTCCTTCATATTAAGTGTAATACTTATCTTCGTTATGAAAATAAAAAAAAAAATCAAATAGCAGTAAAGGGCCAAGAAAAAGAATCAGTTTTGATTAAAGATCTATGCAGATAAAAATCAAACTGAGAAGAACCGAACAGGTCCCAGCTACTGAGGAATTTCACCATAGAATCAGGATTCCAGGATTCTTAATTTTTATTTGTACCAGCTACTTCTTGGTGTATCCCAGATATTCCATTGTCAGGAAATATGCTGGCAAAAGAGATGCGGAATTTCATAAACATACGGAAATATACTTGCTGGCAAGAAAAATCATCCACTCCAGCCAGAGACCATGATGTTAACTAAAACACCAGAAGCAGCTTGCTTCAGTATTCACACTCTCCAGTTTTGAAAACATCATTATTTTCAAATATAATCACCCAGGTTTTTCACAGAAAAGATTTTTAGTGTAATGCAGTATATTTAGTGCACAAGTACATATAAAACATTCATTTATGCAACATATTTGTAAAGTCCGTAAAGAAAATAACAAAGGTGCATAGCCCTTGCGAACAACTACCGCGCCGCCCTCAGCGGCAAGGTCAGCGGCATGGGTCTGGCTCCAGCGGCAGTGCCACGTCACC